ACCGACGATGCTGACCTCTTTGCCATCAGTAGGCTTATCTCTCCACGAGCATCTCCTCCAACAGCCACCACTGAACGTCGCCTCAGTGGCCTAGATCTTTTCTCCTCTCCTGATCCCCCTTTGCCTCTCCTTGTATCAACTTCTCCAACCGGCGTACCGGTTCCACTTTCGACAAAACTTTTTTCCCAACCTGTTTCAAATGAAGCGGCACTCCACTCGACCTCACCTGAGAGGATGCCACCGACTGGATCCCTACTTCATGAAACTCCATCTGTGTAGGTCTGACTTGGTGCTGTTATCTCTTGAGACTTATACTTCAGGCCGCTAGTTACTACCTCTCAAATGTTTTCGCTAGACTTTGTCCGTTACTATCTGAAACATAAATAAAATAGGATATCAAAAAATTCCTTGATGATTCATTGTGACATGACTTTCCATTCCGAAGGGAAAGTTGGCTAGAGGGAATTTATTATATGGTCTCGCCGGAAACCGAAGGAGTGAAAACTCTCAGATTGTGAGGATAATTCCTCGGTTTTCCTATTTATAATACAGCAAAGACAAATTATATTAATTTTAAAGGTTAATGAATAGCTTAGATGAGATAAACAAATATACTATGAAGTTAAAAAAGAATGTCTTGGTAGGTAAAAAGATAATAAGAGTGGGTTGACCTCGTTGTCGCAACTTGGTCTAGTTGTCAGGGCGACTTAGTATCTTCAAAAAGATAGTAAGTTGGGTAGATACGTGTTTAGGAATCCCACGCATTCGGGCTTCATTATTAGTTTATTTTCGAATCAAGTACATAAGATTTAAAGTAAATATTATGAAATCGAAGATAATAAGCAGTCTGTCGTGCGAATACAAACTTTAGGCAGCAGGAAATAAACAGATTAGGGCCTATTTTGATTCAAGATAATTATCCAATATGATTGATTAAAAATGACTTTTCACTACTCATAAACAGAGTACAGGATAATAACTATTTAGGACGGTACAAATAGATAGACCACTTTACTCGTTTCTTGATGTTGCCATCCTGTCAGCTTTCGACAAAGGTGGGTGAACCACTGAGGAATACTGTATAAAGAGAAATGGTACGCGAAATAGAAGCCTCCAAACACAGTATTTTACAGGCTAGATGGATTCAACATGCAAGCTTAAGATGAGGTGGTCTATAGAAATAACAGCCACATCCTGAATAGGAGAAGTGCAATAAAGAAATTAAGTAGGAAACATTTGTTGCTGTTGGATAGGCTGGCGGAGCGACAAGAAGAGGGGGAAGAAGAAGAACCGCTGAATAGGAGGAGGTTTTAATAGTTTTGAGTATAATTAAAACTACGAGACTTCATGTGATTTGGACTTTGTAATCATA